GCATCGAACATCATTAACGTTGCTACCAAAAACCACTTCAGTAGCACGTGCAGTAAGTACTATCAGCGATCACAACTTGGAGGCTCTCGTGACTCAATAACTCTATGTAGCCATGAGCCATAGAGATTACGGGCTGATATAGGAGGATATGGAGGATATTGCGGATAGAATGTAGACGTACTCAGTCAAAAAAAGCCTCCAAAAAGCTTGCTGCCCAACTTTCGCTCTTTTGAATTCCCTGAAGATTTGTCCGCAGTGGGTTTGAAAGCTGCCAACAATCTTCAGTATGCCCTGGTCTCTATACACAGTGAGCCTACCTCCAGCGAGCTCAATTTCTGCAGTGAAGAAGAGAATGGGGTTGAGAGAGATCCATGGGTCTGCTCCCCCCCAACAATCCTCCTCCCTCAAGCGCAGCGCCGAGGAGCACCATAGGAGAGCGCGGAAGCGTCTTCAAAAATCTCTACAGACGCTGCTTCACAAGCTCTCGATGCCTGTACAATGGGATGGCCAGCACGACCAAGGCCTGATTCTGATCTGTAAGGCAGAAAACGTCCTCAAGGTACGATTGATACGAAAAATCCTGCATGGCCATACCTTGGGAAATGTGCTGTTTTTGGTGTTCTAGTAAACTAGGATCATGCAGGATTTTAGCATCAACCGTGTCACTTGGAACCCACAAAACCGTTTCACTTTTTAATGCCCTAAACCGACCTCTGCAAACCCTTCTTTAAATGTTTGACTGGATCCTTTGACCCAAGGTCAGAAATGGCAAAGGAGCCTGATCAAGAGATTCCGTAACGATTCTCGCATGCTCCCGGGTTTGGAGTGTAGGTGGTTGTGCTTAAGATTTAACGTTACGGGGAAGCACTCCTTCCCCCCTTTGACAGCAAGGATGCTCCGGCAGGTTTAAAACAAGTTCGTTAGGGTTTAGGGTTGTCGCCCTAGAATCTAAGGTTTAGGTTTAGGACGAGATTACACTCCCCAGAAAAAAAGGGCTCCTCTAAAGCGACTGTCCCTTGTAAAAGGAACTCATGTAAAATCTCCTGCTACTCGACGCTTAGCGCAAGCCCCACAATTTTCCCTCTGAGGACCTGAACCAAAGCAGATGACTGGGGCTTCGGGGCTTCAGCACGGGCAGCGGGTCCCTTGTCCGGGATCCCTCCAACAAATGGTTCCTCTGACTCGAGAGTACGTAAGTGGAGCCCTTGTTTTCTTAGCAACACCCGTATATATATATATATAATCCCTATCCAAATTTTAGCAGATGCAGCAACCAAACTCTTTGGCGGGGCCGAAGGTTTGCGTAGGGCCTCAGATTGGAGATTTCGGGCTCAGGAATATTCAGAAGAATCTCGTGGTCTTCTTTCAAGAATCCAAGTATGACAAATTATACTTACATTGAGCCGTCAAGTCTGTAAATATTACCTACATGGGGCTATTTTGGATCTCTAAGCCCTAAACCCTAAATTCTCACCTCCATTGGGCTATTTGAATCTCTTGGCCTCTTGAAGGCTGAGACTACCTTTCCCGAAACGGAGGCTGCGTTGGAGGCCAGTCAGGCCCTGCTGAAGTCTCGATAAACCCTCTCCAGGGTTCAGGGTTTAGGGTTTAGGACTTATTATTTTTAAGACTAGTATTACTACTGGCATTCTTTGAAATTGTAATTTCTATTATTCTTACTATTACTATTACTACTATTATCATTATTGTTACTACTATTATTGTTGTTCCCTCTAATCCTCCTCGACTTGTACTTCCCTCTAGGAGGGTCAGGGTGACTTACGAAGTAGGTTACTAACGGGATGGCTAGGGTTACTGTATGGTTTATAAGATTACTAACCTACTACCCTAAACCCTAAGCCCTGAACCCTCAACCCTGCTTACTGAGTCCCCCCGACTCAAGCTCGCTTTGTAACACACCTCCCCGCCCCCTAACAAATGTCAAGGAATTGGGTTTAGGGTTGGAGTTTAGGGTTTTAGGGTTTAGGACTGTTCTTTTTCATTCCGACACGATTGAAATCATAAAATGACATTCTCTGTTGGAGTTTGCACGTAATACGAGACAAAGAAACCATGCTCAACAATGACCCCGGCAATGTTAGATATGCCCCCCACCAAATATACATTCTCTTATTATGGACCCTAAACGATAAACAGGAGGTGACTAATATGGGAAGGTTTCAAATCAGGTTGCAGCCTGTATAACAGCTACAAATAGAACAGTGGAGAACCAAATGGGACACCCTAGCATCCCCCTTAGAAAGCCCTGTATAATATAGGGTTCAGGGCTTATGTAAGGTTCAAGGTCTAAACTCCAGTCTAAACTACCAGTATCCCCCTTAGTAACCCCTATAGTACTCCCTATATAATCCCTTCTATATCCCGCTGTAAGGAGTTTAGACTATAGCTCCCATACGGAGATTTCTTGGGATGGTGCGTGTGATTAGACTACGGTTTCAGGTGATATCTCTTAAATGCGTGCTGCATACGGCTTTTGAGGCGACGTTGTCTCAAGCAAACAGGAGCCCATATGTCGAAAAGGATCGTACTCGATAAGGAGCCCTTGTTCAGATCCCTTTTAGGGAAGGTAACCATGAAGGTAACCCCAAGACTTAGGCACCCTCAACCGTCGGTCGTACACCCTAAACCCCAAATATCCCCTCTTTAACCCTATAAAACCCCGATATAACCCCTATCAAACCCTATAAAACCCTATACAACCCTATAAAACCCTATAAAGCCCTATAAAACCCTATAAAACCCTATACAACCCTATAAAACCCTATAAAACCCTATACAACCCTATAAAACCCTATAAAACCCTATAAAACCCTATACAACCCTATATAACCCTACAAAACCCTGGACTGTGACGGGTCATGGCCAGCCATCTGCTAAAGCCCTCACCACATGCCGGCGACTGGTGCTTTGATCTTCCTCAGGCTCAAGCTTGAATGTGAGGTTTAGGGTTTAGGGTTCTGGGCTTACAGGCAAGTTTCTCAAAGTCACCCCTGCGCAGTCCTTAAGAAGTAGGGACTTATAATCCCCTCATGGCCCTTATACGTCCTTCAGGGACTTCTTCTAGGAGAGGCAGCCGCAAACCACATAGTACCCTGGGAGTTTCCTCGTTCCGGAAGGGATGCTAGAAACAACATTCGAATAACACATACCTTTCTGTTCCTCTTTAATCTATGTGGCACTTAGGACCCCTACTAAGGGGGTTACCCTAAACCCTAAACCCGGTTAATCCTTAGGCACCTATAACAAGAGTATAAAGGAATCCCAAAGGATGAAGGGTCTAAGGTCCAAGCTAAGTCCCAAGGAGATAACTAGACCCTAAACCCTAAACCCCTAAACCCTAAACCCTAAACCCAGTGACATTTTGTTGGTTTTGGCCTCGGGATGAAAGTGGATGCTTCTCAGTGTTGAGCGTTTTAGGTTTGGGATTTAGGTTGGAAGGTTCAGGGCATGAGTCTTAAGGCTAGGGATTTTCGAGTATAAGGTTTTAAGTGACAAAGGCCTAGGGGTCTGGCATTCAGGCGCTTAGGAGGTAGGATTTAAGATTTAGGGTTAGCCCCCCTTAAATAGACAAATTATGGCTTTGGCTATGTTAGAGTAAGATCCGCATGCACCCCATATTCTATCTACTTAAGGGAGACTATAACCTAAACCC